AAATCTTTACATTTTTAGAAGTTATGGAAAGCAGACAGAAAGATACAGAAAATTACAGAAAAGTATGTTTCATAAAAGTAGCATGTTTCACAGTATTTGGTGAACATTTGTATTTGGTTCTAACATTTTTAGAAAAGAATACCTACACAAAACAGCAAAAACTCAAAATCCATTACTATACATCTTGCCACAAGACATTTTCTATAACCTGCTTCAGTATGTGAACTTGTTGTCAGTGATTTGTTCATTCTGTAGCTTCAGTTATTTCTTTTTAAATCAGTTTCCAGACTTTTGAAAACTGAATCTTTGCCAGGACTGAGTCAAGTTTTCCTATCTTTTGAATGACTTTGTTCCTTGATCTCTGTGTAGTTCTCAAAAATAAAAGACTAGTTTGCACCACCATTGTGAGTCAGAGTGGGAGTCTAAAAGCCTATTAGCTATCCTTCAGCATCCATTAACACCAAGACTCACACCACATTGTTCTGAATATTTCCACTTCTGACCCGATCCCTAACCCTCTCTTCTCTTCACCTGTCCCTGTCCCCATCCCCATCCCTCACCCAGCTCCTGCTGGGTCCTCTGGATCTCCTATTCTTGACTCTAAAATCCTGTGCATACAATCTTTTCTCTAACTTTTCTTTGTCCCTCTTATTGTAGCTGAAACCTGATGGACCAGGACCAGTGAGTCTAGTATTTATAGCTCACTCCCAATACTGGGAGGCCAGGTATAGCTTGGTACTGTAAGAAATTATTTGACATATAATTTTTCATATGGCTTCCCTGGTAGCTCAGCTGGTAAAGAATCAGCCTGCAATGTAGGAGATCCTGTTTCAATTCCTGGATTGGGAAGATCCCCTGGAGAAGGGATAGGCTACCCACTCCAGTATTCTTGGGCTTCCCTGTGGCTCAGACCATAAAGAATCCACCTACAATTCGGGATACCTGGGTTCGATCCCTGGGTTGGGAAGATCCCTTGGAGGAGGGCATGGCAACCCACTCCAGTATTCTTGCCTGGAGATTCCCATGGACAGAGGAGCCTGGCGGGTTACAGTCCATGACGTCACAAAGAGTTAGTCATGACTAAGCGACTAAGCATAGCACACAGTCCCTACTTACACTCTTAGGGGATCTTGTAAATTTGGGTAGAATATCAATTTAGTAGCATTCTAGTAGCTGTGATTTAGTTATCCCATGTAGCATTTGGAAATGCAGGTTCATGTTGAAGGGTTCAAAAGGCAGGTTACTGTTTTATGACAGTTCTTTAACTTCCTCATAGGACCTCATTTCTTATTGTACCACAGCAAGTTTAGCTATTTCTTTAAATTAGCACTCACACTCTATTAGCTCAAGTTTAATTTATTACTAGTGGAATAATTGATCAGTTATTTATGAACTCACTACTATGTACCAAGTTCACACACAGGCTAAGTACAAGGAAATTCCTTCAGGATATAATAAACAAAACAGATGTGGGCTCTTCCTTCAGAAAGATATGTATAAAGCAAATAAGAACACATATTATCAATTATAAGTGGCAACTAACACAAAATATTATTTAATTCTGTATGTACTCTACGGGCTTCCCTGGTGGCTCAGCAGTATAAGAATCCACCTGTCAATGCAGGAGATGCGAGTTCAACTCTGGGTAGGGAAGATCCCCTGGAAAAGGAAACTGCAATCCACTCCAGTATTCTTGCCTGGAAAACTGCATGGACAGAGGGGCCTGGTGGGTTACAGTCCATGGGGTCGCAAAGAGTCGGACATGACTTAGCGACTAAACAACAACAAACACAAAATATTATTTCATTCTATATGTACTCCATAGGAAATTACAATTTAATCTCATTAGAGATTAATTTTTGACAAAATTATATTTTCATTGCGATCATATAAATCCAATTCCCAACCTAAGAATTATTAATTTATTTTGGCTTCTTGCTCCTCTGAGTAGTCTGGAGTTGTTTACTGGTATGTAAACAGAAGACTAGGCGCTAAGTGCTTAGATCCAATAACTCCAGTTTTTCTCTTGTAGTTTTATAAATGTCTTCCAGATATTTACATGTTTTTTTTTCTTATTCAGGATTTATTATGCAAAGACTTCTTTTAATTTAGCAAATGCATAATTCTTTTGTCATTCTTTAAAGCATATTAAGCATTTCCTGATTCCAGTCAGTATAACTGTCAGAAAAAAGTTTTAACTGTAGATACCTGACTCAGTGCAGAATCATATCACTCATAGGGACACTGTTCTGGTTTTGATTTCAAAGCAATTACTGAGTAAGGCTTCACTGAACTGCAACATGAATCAGCATTTAGCGAGGCTGAGTTTAAACCTCTATTCCAGATTCTGAGTGACAGAGAACTTCTAAATAGGGCACTGTTTGTTTACAGTTTTAGGTATCTGTGATTTACTTGGCTTTATTAGGCAATAGGGGCTTTGGTTCAGTTATATTTTTAACATTCCTTAAAATAAATCAAAGAATGTTCCCATTCTGGATGAGGATTAGCATGGTGGAGGAAATGAAGACTTTACAAGTGCCAGGTATCCAGGGATTGTGAGCTGGGCTCTGTGCTGAACTGCTTTGGTTAATACTTTATTGGTTACATGTAATAGAAACTGGCTCTGGCTAGCTTAAGGGAAAAAAGTAAGTGGTGCTGGCATATTGGAAGAATATTTGGGTAGCTCAAAGAATCCAAGACTCAGGAAAGACAGTGATCAGGGGACTTCTGCCCTCAGAAGTAGAGTTCATGTCTTGCCCACTAGAGTAAAATAGTTCAAGTATCTCAGCACATGACTCTTCACAAGAGGCCCAGTTTGGGTCTTCACCTGTGGACCAGCCAGTCAGTGTCAGAGGGGCAGAATAATATTGTTTAGCCAGTTGCTTGTGGGCAACTGCACCTGTGTTTTGTGGGCAGTTCCCAGAGAAAGGGGGCTTATTGTGAACTGGAGGCCATACCAATGAGGTATACTCTATGGGGCATTTTACAAGCTTAGTTTTTTTTTTTAAAGTCTATTAAACTCACTATTTTCACCTCACAAATGAGAAAACAGAGACTTCATTTGGCTAGGCAACTTGTCCAATGTTCCACAGTTAGAATGTGGCAGGGCTTGAATTCTAACTAGGCTTATAAAAGGGGGCTAGTCTCCTTCTTTAAAGATTAAAGTAATGTGATGACTATCTGGATAAATATTTATAGATAATTTCTCATGGAGAGATGTTAGGTATCTGCAATTTTATACTAGAAAGAATAAAACTACCTGTTGAAAGATCTAGGGTTGAATCCCACCCAACTCTACCTGGTCCTCATGGGCAATTAAACACCTAATCTTCTACACTAATCAATGTGGACATATCATCTCCTACATAGGGTTATTTCAACTTCACACGGGTGTTGAGATAATAATGTGAAAATACTTGGTTCAAAGCAGATACTCATTTGTTTTCAGATACTCATTTGTTTTTTGAGGAAATAGCTCTTCTAATAATGAACCCTCAAGACTGTTACTAAAAATGGAGTCACAATTTGACAGTGCTTTGTCACTCAAAAAGTCTAATTATTGTCTTACCCACAGTCTTTCAAGATGGTGCTTTATTCATCTAGACATAAAGGTAGGAAATGCTATAAAAAGTGGTAAGAAAATCACACAATAGGAGGGGAGTTTTAGACACAAAACATTTGACTCCTTTGAGACTTTCAGCTCATATTTTAGGGAGAATCTCTTATCTTTGGTCACAGTGTAGCAGGCAGGGGGATCCCCTTCAAGGGCCCTAAACTGGGCTCTTGTCTAACACTCAGAAATGAATTGTCTGGGGAGATATATGTGCTGACAAAGCAAGATATTTTATTGGGAATAAAATCCCCAATTTTATTGGGGGCCTGGGCAGAGAGCAGTAGGATAAGGGAACCTAGGAGAACTGCTCTGCACATAGCAGTCTTATGTTTTGTGGGGATGGGATTAGTTTCTGGGTTGTCTTTAGCCAGTCATTCTGACTCAGAGTCCTTCCTGGTGCTGCATGCCTTGTTCAGTCTATATGGATGCCAGCGAGAAGGATTCTGGGAGGTGGTCTGACATGTGGTGTCTCCTTTTGACCTTTCCCAAACTTTTCTGGTTGATGGTTTATTAGTTCATTGTTCCTTACCAGGACCTCCTGTCAATACAACTCAAGCAAATGGTTACTATGGTGCCTGGCCAGGATGGGCGGTTTCAGTCCACTAACAACTGTGCTTCCCCTAACAACAGCACAATGCTTAAATTGTGAGAAATTAAATTCTAAGCATTAGGTTTAAATGTTTAAGTCTAATTCTCTTAGTGAATGCTACCTGACATGGTTTATGTCCTTGTGATAACCAGAACAAAAAGAGAATACAGTTCTAAATGTGGAAACCTGTAATTGAATATCACTGAAACAGACTATTAGCTAATTCAGTTTGGAAGGATAAATGTATTAAACAGTTCTATGTCCAGATGATTATTCTCAGTTATCTTTAAGGACAACTCCATGGGATAAAAATATTGTAGCAATCTAAGAATTTATTATTGTGCATGGTGGGTGTTCTGCAAATATTCAGAGACGGATCAGTATCAATTTGTTCCAAATTACTTCAGACAATAATTAGTCTACATCAAGAGAAAAATTAGAACCCCAAATAGAAGAACAAAAAAATCATTCTGTGCTAGTTGGGATAGAAAGAGAGGTGGAGATTATTATATTCTCCTGATACCTCCTCTATCTCTGGGTCTTAGTTTCAGTGACCTTCTATGCTTCATTTTCATTGAACTCATATCTGAGTAACTCGTAAAATATCCTATCATTTTAAATTTGATGACAGAGTCAACTGATTTTAAACATGACCATAACATCGTTTTATTAGCTTGTTTCTGGATTAAAAGCCCTTTCTCCCCTTTTCAACTATGCTGCATTTCAAATCAGTGGCCTGCTTGCTTTAATTTCTTATTTAAATTTGTAAGATAAAACAACTAAGTAGTCATTAACAATTTAAAGATCCTTGAAGTGAAGTAAAAGTCGCTCGGTTGTGTACGACTCTGCATTCCCATGGACTGTAGCCCCCCAGGCTCCTCTGTCCATGGGATTCTCCAGGCAAGAATACTGGAGTGGGCTGCCATGCTCTCCTCCAGGGGATCTTCCCAACCCAGGGATCAAACCCAGGTCTCCCACATTGCAGGTGGATTCTTTACCACCTGAGCCATCAGGGAAGCCCTTGGTAAAATAAGCACTTGTTAAAAGATTCTTGGTGGGGAGGTATAAGTTAAAAACATCATCATCCATAGATATAGAAGTTAGACTTAGAAAAAAATTTAAAAAAAACTTTAAAGTATTAAAAATAACAATAACCAAATAAGATTTGAAGCTCTCTTTATTACACTGAGAAATCCCAGAAAAGCACAAAGCCAATGAAAGTAGGAGCATTTCAGGAAACAAAACAAAAATGTTTGCAAACATTTTAAATGATATTTTAGTTTTGATGTTAAAAGAGAAAACACACACCTCATGATTTTGCACTGAAGCACACTGCTCATGAATTAAGTACATCCTGAAGTACTGGGAAAGGATTTCGCATTTCATATTTAGACCTGATTCCATTCTATTTATATATAACAGGGAAAATAAATCTCCTAAGTTATATTCTCTTTCTAGAGATTAAGTTCACGGTGTGATTTGTAAGAAAAAAGATTTTATTGATTCATAGTGACTGTGAAGAAAAAAAAATAGGAGATAAATACATTATACATATATATTCCTTTAGGTGGTACATAAGATCAAAGTTGAATTAATTTAATTATCTTCAGTGTTTTTAATTGCTACCAATGACAATATATGGATTCCACTATAGAAGAGGTTGGTAATATCAGAATGATTCTCTGGCATATCCATGCTTTATAGCTAAGTTACACAGATAAAAAGGTGATGTTGAAAACCATGCTATTTATATCCTCAAAATCAAATAAATGTATGATGACATTTTAGAATCTCATCCGGAGTCACTGTGAAATGATAAGTAAAGATATTTACTATTTTTGCCAAATACAATGTAACCGGCCACCAGAAGCTATAAAGTTTATTTAATTACATTTTGGTAATTTTCAATGGCTTTGAGGGCACATCATACTGTCTGTAGCTGCTACTATTGCTACTAATAAAATAACATTAAACATAAAGGAGAAAATAAAATAAATTAGATCTCTTGTTCTAAATATTGCTTTAGTTTATCCTTGAAGTGGAAACCAATATTCCAAGGTTTGGAAAGAAAACAAAAACATCTTTATAATTCAGAGCATGTATTTTAGAGGTCTAATGATTTATCCATTGCCAGTGTGGGTTAGCTTGTCACGTTTTCTTTATTCAATGTCAACTGGTTCTGTAGCTATTAAAGCACTTAACTGTTTCTGAGCACAGGAAAGGAACAGTTCCAAACTGGACAGGCTTCTTTGGCGGATGACTTGGTCAAGCTGTTGATTTTTTTTTAAAGAGAGAGACAGAAAGAAAAAAGAATATACTTAGTTGAGGGATAAAGAACAGTATGCCACTGAAGCCCACTAGACAAAACTTTTCAGATGCTGATTTAGAAAATCAAACAGTGCTTTAAACTCAGAGATAGTGCAGTCACTATTTTTTGTCTATCATCTAAGATGAAATGATAATTGTTACAATTTTACAAATGATGTTGATATTCAGCTACTGGAAAATAGCATAAATTTGATCAGAGTGATTTCAGAAAATATAAAATAGTATTTAAAATACCATTTTGTAATGAATATACAGACAAGACATCCACAAATACCATAAAAACATAACAGATGCAATAAACAAAAGAAAAACATGTAGGGAAAAACAGTATAATTACAACAGGCCTAAGTTTACCTGGGACAAAGGATAAGTGAGGACACATACAATATCCTAAAATTAGAGAAAGTTCCTGGAAAAGGAGTATTTTAAGGAATTGTTGAAACTTAAATTTGACTTGGTCTATCTGCTGAGTCAGAGATTTTTTATTAGGATAATTTTAGTGTGTTAATAACAAAGGCAGTGAACAAAATCCTAGAGGTTTAGTAATAAAAGTCATATAAAAACTTTCATGATGTTAGGATTATTAACTACATCAAAAAAACTTTCTAATTCTTCTGCCTTAAAAATTGCTCATGGTATAAAAATAACTAACAACAACATATTAGTTACAGGTTATAGAAGAATGGATGAATGCAAAAGAAAGCCAAATAAATTCCATCTCACAATATATACCTGTCATATTTATATAAAAGTTGACATATTCCTCCCACAAGCTTCCTCAACATAAAGGTCAAATCCAAACAAAAATTCTCTAGTAAATTACACATCCATAATCCACTAATTTCTAAAATGACTGAAAAAAATGGAAGATTAAAATTTTGATGTATCCTAAGAATTAATAAAAAAGAATACAGTATATTTATCAAAATCCTCATGTAAAAAGATTGAACACTACTAAGACTCTCTCTAATATTAGGGATTTTAATGTACATCCAGAAACAGATTCTTGCTTATCCTTTTTCCTCATGGTTGTTTTTTTTTTTTTCCCATTCCTTTGATAACTTTAGGTAAATATATACCTTCTGCATACAAGTCTCTATTAAGTAAGACAGTTCTTTACAAGGTAAACCCCAAGTGAGCAGAGAGCTTCTCTGTCTTGATGACTATTGTACCTCAGCATTAGAAGAAGGTCTGGTCACATGTTAGACATCCCATAAATATTTTCTAAGACTGAATGAATCAATAAATACTTAACCCAAATAGAGCAAAGCAATCTACTAGGAAATGATAGGTACACTTTTAATTCTAAAAGTAAAAACATGCCTAACAATCTAAAAGCTATGTAGTAGACATTTGAAATTTTTAAAGTTTCATTTTAATACACATAAAGCATACTGAAACCTAATTATTTGAAGTTTTAAAAAATTATTTTGCATTTGGTCCAAATTCAAATAGCACAGAAGGGTATACCAACACCCAGGTCTAGTACATTCCTAGTGGTTTCTATCTACTTTGGATGTTTCCAAGCATTTAAAGATGGGTTTTAAAAAATATTTGGTCCAGATGCTGTAATTGTTAACCATGGGAGGGTTTACATAATCACTTTGTTCCACTGCCATTACTGGAAATTTTTCCTATCTCATTTTTTAAGAAATTGCTTGACTGTATTCCATGATTTATTTAGCCACTCTCCCATTGATAGACATGTAAGTTTATTTCAATTTAGTTCAATTTAGCAACAAAGAAATTTCAACCTGAGTGCATTCGCTTCAGATGTTCAAGGGTTTTTGAGGAATTCTAATACATGGATTTTCTACATCATATGATTTGGATAGTTTATTTCTAGATGCAAAATACTATGATGATATATGATATAATATCATATAATATAATTGTGGTTGAACATGTTAGTATGTTCACATGGGCACTTGTGAAGAACAGGCTATGAGAGGAGCAAGACAAAAAAACCAAGAGATACAATATACAAGGCAGTCAGTAAATGTGTAAAAAATAAACACAATTAACAAAAAAAATCTCATGAATAGAGAAAAGTGTAATACTTCTGATACTTGTAGGTAACTGAACAAAAATATCACAGCCAATGGTGATCAGACACACACTTCTCTCTTAGATGCCAAAGTACTTATAATTCATTTTTTGTCTACTGTCAGCGCAGTTGCTGTTTTCAGTGCTCCAGAATCCAGAGTAGCTGGCAGCATTCTTCATGGGGAATGCCCGTGTTCTGATTAGACACCTAGCCAGTTACCTCTGTTCAGCCATTCATATCCAGTCCTTTTTAAAAATTATTTTTTATTGAATAGAAGATTCTTTAAATTCTGTAATGCTTTGTAATTTTCAAAGTTTTACATGGATGATTTCATATAATCTCATAATAACCCTGTTTTTTTCTTCTACCCTTATGTTGTCTCTTTTCCCTTCCCTTTCCCCAGAGGTAACCAGTAGTGTGTTCTTATATATGTGAGTCTGCATCCTTTTTGTTTTATTCACAAGTTTATTGTATTTTTTACATTTCACATATAAGTGATACCATATAGTACTTCTCTTTCTGACTTATTTCACTTAATATGCCCTCCAAGTCCATCCATGCTGCTGCAGATGACAAAACTGTATTCTTTTTTTTTATTGCTGAGCAATATTCCATTGTGTGTGTCTATATATACATCTTCTTTACTATTCATCTGTTGATGGACGCTGAGGTTGCTTCTATACCTTGGCTAGTATAAATAATGCTGGGATGAACATTTGGGAACAAGTATCTTTTCAAATTAGTGTTTTTGTTTTTAACTATATACCCAGGAGTGGAATTCTGGGTGATATCATACTCCATTTTTAGTTTTTTGAGAAATCTCCATATTGTTTTCCACAGTGGCTGCACAAATTTACATTCCCACCAACAGCGTATGAGAGTTCAGTGTTCTCCACATCCTCACCAATATTTGTAATTTCTATTCTTTTCAATGATTGTCATTCTGGCAGGTGTGAGGTGATATCTCGTCATGGCTTTGATTTGCACTTCCCTGATGATTAGCGATGTTGATCATCTTTTCATGTGTTTGTCTGCCGTCTGCATTTCCTCTTTGAAAAAAATCTCTATTCAGTTCTTCCACCCATTTTTAATCAGGTTGTTTGATAGGATCTGCATATTGTAAACTGTGATAGTTATTACCAAATTGCTTTCAAGAGCAAGTGACAGTGAAAGTTGCTCAGTCGTGTCTGACTTTGCAACCAGAACAGAATCCTGGAGTGGATAGCCTTTCCCTTCTCCAGGGAATGTTCCCAACCCAGGGATTGGACCCAGGTATCCCGCACTGCAGGTGGATTTTTCACCATCTGAGCCACCTATTAGTCCCAGATGTAGCGTATGAAAGGACTGGTTTTCCCCGTTTTCTTTGTCTAAACCATTGTATAATTTTCCATTTTATAGTTATAATTTAATATATATAAGGGATTATTTTATTACTTAGTTAAAAATTATACTATTGATAGACATTTGGATTGTTCCAAATCTTTTGCTTTTATACTAGCAAAATGCTGTTGTGAAAACCTATCACACAGACCTCTGTATGCTACAATATCTTACAGAAATTGCTTGAGCCAAAAAACGTGTCATCTGCAATGCTACGTATATCGTAAATCAGATTTCCATATATGCCTGAATCTTTCTTCAGGCTCCCTATTGAGCTTCCACAGAGAGTTCACCCTATCCCTATGTAAATATCAATCCTCTGTCTCTTAAGTAGGGTGAGACTCTTTGTGATCCCATGAAGTGTTGTAGCTCAAAAGGCTCCTCTCTCTGTCCATGGGATTCTCCAGGCAAGAATACTGGAGTGTGTTCCCATGCCCTTCTCCAGGGGATCTTCCTGACCCAGGGATTGAACACAAGTCTCCCACATCTCCTGCACTGCAGGCGGATTCTTTACCACTGGTGGACTTCTTGGTCACATAGATGGTAAAGAATCTGCCTGCCATGCATGAGACCTGGGTTTCATTGCTGGGTCGGGAAGATCCCCTGGAGAAAGGAATGGCAACCCATTCCGTATTCTTGCCTTGAAAATTTCATGGACGGAGGAGGCTGGTAGGCTACAGACCATAGGTTCACAGAGTCAGACATGACAGAGAGACTAACACTTTCATTTTCTTTATCACTGGGGAAGCCCATGGAAATATGCTATTTTAATTACTACAACTGTGTAAATAAATTTTAGCATATCACATATACCTACCATTTTACCAACCATACCATCTAATACTTTAGAAGAATATAAATTAGTTTAGTTCAGTTTAGTCGCTCAGTTGTGTCTGACTCTTGGCAAGCCCATGAACCGCAGCACGCCAGGCCTCCCTGTCCATCACCAACTCCCAGAGTCTACCCAAACCCATGTTCATTGAGTCGGTGATGCCATCCAACCATCTCATCCTCTGTAGTGCCCTTCTCCTCCTGAACTCAATCTTTCCCAGCAACAGGGTCTTTTCAAATGAGTCAGCTCTTTACATCAGGTGGCCAAAGTATTGGAGTTTCAGCTTCAGCATCAGTCCTTCCCAATGAACACCCGGGACTGATCTCCTTTAGGATGGACTGTATGGATCTTCTTGCAGTCCAAGAGACTCTCAAGGGTCTTCTCCAACACCACAGTTCAAAAGCAGCAATTCTTCAGTACTCAGCTTTCTTTATAGTCCAACTCTCACATCCATATACGACTACTGGAAAAACCATAGCCTTGACTAGACGGACCTTTGTTGGCAAAGTAATGTCTCTGCTTTTTAATATGCTATCTAGATTGCTCATAACTTTCCTTCCAAGGAGTGTCTTTTAATTTCATGGCTGCAATCACCATCTGCAGTGATTGTGAGCCCCCCAAAATAAAGTCAGACACTGTTTCTACTGTTTCTCCATCTATTTGCCATGAAGTGGTGGGACCGG